TTTATGACGTCGAATATCGACGTCATAAACACCAAAGTTGATCGTGTTTATGACGTTGAATATCGACGTCATAAACACCAAAGTTGATCGTGTTTATGACGCCGAATATCGACGTCATAAACACCAAAGTTGATCGTGTTTATGACGTCGAATATCGACGTCATAAATACCAAAGTTGTTCGTGTTTATGACGTCGAATATCGACGTCATAAACATCAAAGTTGATCGTGTTTATGACGTCGAATATCGACGTCATAAACATCAAAGTTGATCGTGTTTATGACGTCGAATATCGACGTCATAAACACCAAAGTTGTTCGTGTTTATGACGTCGAATATCGACGTCATAAACACCAAAGTTGTTCGTGTTTATGACGTCGAATAACGACGTCATAAACACCAAAGTTGTTCGTGTTTATCACGTCGAATATCGACGTCATAAACACCAAAGTTGTTCGTGTTTATGACGTCGAATATCGACGTCATAAACACCAAAGTTGTGTGTTTATGACGTCGAATATCGACGTCATAAACACCAAAGTTGATGGTGTTTATGTCGTCGAATATCGACGTCATAAACACCAAATTTGATCGTGTTTATGACGTCGAATATCGACGTCATAAACACCAAAGTTGATCGTGTTTATGACGTCGAATATCGACGTCATAAACACCAAAGTTGATCGTATTTATGACGTCGAATATCGACGTCATAAACACCAAAGTTGATCGTGTTTATGACGTCGAATATCGACGTCATAAACACCAAAGTTGATCGTGTTTATGCGCCGAATATCGACGTCATAAACACCAAAGTTGATCGTGTTTATGAGGTCGAATATCGACGTCATAAACACCAACGTTAATCGTGTTTATGACGTGGAATATCGACGTCAATTATTATTATGACGAATATTATTAGACGAATATTATGACGTCGATACTCGACGTCATGAACACCAAAGTTGATCGTGTTTATGACGTCGAATATCGACGTCATAAACACCAAAGTTGATCGTGTTTCTGACGTCGAATACTCGACGTCATGAACACCAAAGTTGATCGTGTTTATGACGTCGAATATCGACGTCATAAACACCAAAGTTGATCGTGTTTCTGCGCCGAATATCGACGTCATAAACACCAAAGTTGATCGTGTTTATGAGGTCGAATATCGACGTCATCAACATCAAAGTTAATCGTGTTTATGACGTCGAATATCGACGTCATCAACACCAAAGTTGATCGTGTTTATGACGTCGAATATCGACGTCATCAACACCAAAGTTGATCATGTTTATGACGTCGAATATCGACGTCATAAACACCAAAGTTGATCGTGTTTATGACGTCGAATATCGACGTCATAAACACCAAAGTTGATCGTGTTTATGACGTCGAATATCGACGTCATAAACACCTAAGTTGATCGTGTTTATGACGTCGAATATCGGTTATGACGTCATAAACACCAAAGTTGATCGTGTTTATGACGTCGAATATAGACGTCATAAACACCAAAGTTGATCGTGTTTATGACGTCGAATATCGACGTCATAAACACCAAAGTTGACCGTGTTTATGACGTCGAATATCGACGTCATAAACACCAAAGTTGATCGTGTTTATGACGTCGAATATCGACGTCATAAACACCAAAGTTAATCGTGTTTATGCCGTCGACGTCATAAACATCTAAGTTGATCGTGTTTATGACGTCGAATATCGACGTCATAAACACCAAAGTTGATCGTGTTTATGACGTCGAATATCGACGTCGTAAACATCTAAGTTGATCGTGTTTATGACGTCGAATATCGACGTCATAAACGCCAAAGTTGATCGTGTTTATTACGTCGAATATCGACGTCATAAACACCAAAGTTTATCGTGTTTACGACGTCGATATTCGACGTCATAAATACCGAAGTTGATCG